TCTTCAAGCTTGAATGTCCAGATTCCACAACTTTAGCTACTCCATATCCTGTTATCGGCTGCAGGAGACAAAAGCTAAATGATAATTTGATCATCACAAGAGATTTTCCAGAAGAAAGAAGAGAATTTATATCTTGGTTTTGAAATGAAGGATATTGGAAAACTTAAGCCCTTGTTTTAAAATGCTTCATTGCAAGCCAATTCACTCAGAAAGGTAAAGATTAGGAAGAAGATTGAGTGCTCCAATTCAATTGAAACGATTGAGAGCTTTAATTCAAATTTTACACTTGAAATATACGAATGATTAGGTGCCCCAATTCAATTCGAATAGATAAGCGCAACCCTAACGACAGATCGTTCAATTGACAAACTGTTTTACCCTAAAATGGAAAAATGAAAGTGAGAAATGAGAGTGTAATTCATACCGAACCAGGAGTGAAGGAAGCAACGTAACTGCCTTCAGTTTTGGTCATTCGACCACGCATGTAAGGATCGCAGGAGAGATAAAGGTTCTTGAGGAGGACGCCATTGGAACCTTGAGGGAGCTGGAGGGGGACGGTGGCGGAAGTTGTAAGGGACATGTCTGATTCCTTGGGGAAGCCATTAACGTAATCCTTAAAGATCACTTGCTGATTTCTCACTTCTTCCATTTTCCTGCTGAACAAGGGCTAGATTGCTATGCGAATGTGTATGTAACTCCAAAAGCAACAGAAATAAGCTCTCAGACCAGAAAGAACTTCAAATACACAACCAAAAGAGAAAACTAAAGATCTAAACAACTCAAACACAAACAAGAAACGATCTAGTACGAATCAGATTAGGGTTAACGAGAGCTATTAGAACCCTAATAATCTCTACGTTAAATATATACTAAAAGATATTTCAAAATTAAAAGTCATAATAATTCACAATTTGTTAATATGTGTATTTTATTTCCAAATAAAAGATAAAGATAAAGATGGACACTTTTTGCCCATTCCGCATCTAGCCACTCAAAAAGAGATTTATTTAAGCATGCATAAATTGACTTAACATTTGAATCACAAAAGGAAATGTTTGGTTAGTATTGGTAATATTAGGCTCCAACGGGTGGGTGCGGTCTCAGACCGCACTTTGTGCCACGTAGATGAAGAACATTGCTCCTAGACAGCGGTCTGGTGCGGTCTTGGCCGCACTGCGGTCCTTGAGTATCGCGATTTCTAATTGGTTGAGGGGAAAAAGTGAGGATCGCTGGCTTTTGTATTTATTTTTATTTTTTTTGCTTTTTCTTTCTTATATATACATATCTAACATCATTTTTTTTCACAACACAATCTCTTGTCTCTCTCAAAAAACTTTTTAAAAAAAATCAACACTCTTTCAAAAATGGCATCTTCTTCATCTTCTGAAGAATTTCATACTATTTTTGATACCGCTATTGCGTGTGTTCAAATGACGGAACAAACATACAGTGTTGTATTTTGCATAAATCGTGAAGAAACCAACCAACGTTTGGTGCAAGATTATTTTGCAGAGAATGCCACTTATCAAGGGTATTATTTTCGTAGGCGCTTCAGAATGCTCAAAGGCTTATTCGAACGTATAGTTGAAGATGTAACGAGGAAGTGCAGTTTTTTCCAACAACGTTACAATGCTAGAGGTACACCCGGTTTCACTCCCTTACAAAAATGCACGGCTGCACTTCGTCAGTTAGCGTATGACATTTCGCCTAATGCGTTAGACGAAAGTTTTAGGATGTCTACTAGGATAGCACGAGACAGTCTCCATTTTTTCTACAAAACTGTGATTCAGTTTTATGGTCCAAAATATTTACGTAAGCCTACACGTAATGACATCCTACAATTACAAGCTCATCATGCTAGTGTGCATGGGTTTACTGGAATGCTAGGAAGTTTAGATTGTCTCCGTTGGGCATGAAAAAATTGCACTACAACATATCATGGACAATTTACCCGAGGTGATCATGGTCACCCGACGGTCATACTTGAAGCAGTTGCATCACAAGACATGTGGATTTGGCATGCTTTTTTTGGTTCTCCTGGTTTGATTAACGACATCAACGTTCTTAACCGTTCACCAATATTTAACAATATATATGATAGATCTGCACTATATTCTTCTTTTCAAGTGCGTGGAACGCCATATAAGTATGGTTATTATCTAGTCGATGGAATATATCCCGAGTATGCTGTGTTTGTTAAATCATTTACAGCTCCACATGGTTCTAGACGAAAGAAATTCAAGAGGGCTCAAGAAAGAGCTATGAAGGATGTTGAGCGTGCTTTTGGAGCTCTGAAGAAACAGTGGTTCATATTGAAAAAACCACCAGCTTATTTAGGCGAGGAAAAACTTCAAAAATCATGTATACATGTCTTATATTGCATAACATGATTATTTAAGACGAAGGAAGAGCGATATGTGCGTTTGACGAGGAAGAAACCATACCAGAGATACAACCAATAGATGTTGGTGGCGAAGAGTATATAAACAGGAGAGCAGAGATACGTTGCACTGAAACATTTCACAATCTTCGCAATGACTTGGTGGAACACATTTACGGGGTTCAAAACATTAACCTTAATTTGGATCCACCGGATGACCCCGAAGACGAGTTATCGGAGAACGACTTTATGTAGTTTGCTTTAGTTATTTTATTTGTGTTTTTTAAGTTTCTAGGATTATTTAAATGTCATGTGTGTGGTTTTTGTGTTTTATTTATTTATTTATTTGGTAATGCAATGTAATGTAATTTTTTTTTTTTTTTTTTTTTTTTTTTTTTTTTTTTTTAATTATAATTTTCAAGTAATGAAAAATTATGTTTTTTTTATTAAAATAGAAGTTTTATCAAATTAAAATAGTTAAAAAAAGAAGTTTTATTAAATTAAAATAGTTAAAAAAAAAAGGGGGAATGTGTGGCACCACTCCCTTGGTGTGGCAAGAAACCACACTTGAGTGGTAAAAAATAACATAACGCTTATGTGGCGGAAGAGGGAGTGCGATTTTGGTGACACCACACCCTCCAGCTTTATCCTACAACACATCCTACGAGTTCACACAAAAGGGGAGCTATTTGACTCAGAAAATTCAGCAAATGACCAAAACTGAGGGGTCTTTTGAAAAAAATGATCACGGAAATGAGAAATTCCGAATATGACCAAAGGACTCGCAGAGGGGGGTATGCGGAATCATAAACGCCTATGAGGAAATGGAACATCTCTACGGATCTTGGGTTTTTTAATTTTTTTTCGCTTTTACGTTTTTTTTATTTTTGTTTTCGTTTATTAATATATTTTTTTAGTCACATAAGGTATTATGTGATTATTATGTAAAATTTTTGACAAAAAAAGGATAAAATAATGAATTTATGTTTAATATCAATAGAACTGTTTGGGAATCCACAGAACTGTTATCAGCGGATCAGTGTACACCTCTACGGATCAGCGTACACCTCTACGGATCAGTGTATAAATTGTCATATCGGTTATATATTGTATCAACTCACCCCGGTATTGAAAAATATAGAAATGGCCTCTAATCCACCAACTTCTACGAATGCAACATCGTCGTCCGTTACTCCACGTCCATGGACGACAAGAGAGGTGATGGTTATAATACGATGTTGGTTGAACAATTTTGAAGGTGTCACAACAATGGTTACCCCTAATTACCTTGGAGGTGATGAATGAACCCGCATAACAGGTATGTTCAACCTCTCATTTGGACAATGAGAATATCGGGTACAAGTATATATTCTTAGTAAGTGGATGAAGTTAAAGAATGAAATCACATGGTTCAATAGATGGTATCATCATCTTAAAAATAGTAGTAATTATTATTACACAAACGAGGATGCTCTTGTATAAATGATTTTAGATTATTACATTTTCGAGCATGAGGGAAAAGACTTCGAGTATGTGGATGCTTGGAATCTGGTTAAGAACCATCGGTATTTCATGTAGAAGGGTTTTTTTTATGTGAAATGTTTTATGTAATATGTTTGCTATAGATGTACGTTTTCCATGTATTTGTACTGTTTTGTATTTTATGTTCTATGGAATAAAGTAGAAGTTAACTCAACTGGTTTCGTAAATAACTTAATATAAACCAAATACATATAAATAACTTAATACAAACCGGTGCATATAAATAACCTAATAAAAACAAACTACATTAAAATATCATTCTACAAACGCAATACAAATTAAAAATACGAGAGATCTTTTAAGAGATTCCAAGGGCTTTCAAACTCGAATTCTAACTCGTCAGTAATGGATATGTATTCTGCTTTCGCTGCGTCCATGATGACTTCCTCATCTTCATTCGGACGTGCGTCATCAATTTGGGTATAAAGATTGTTGAAAAACAAGACTTCTGTTTTTAATTCATACCATTTTGTTGTGATGTCAACGGTGTTGCGGTAGTTTTCTGGGGCAGATTGAGGGTCAACGTTGAAGGCATAAGTTAAATGGATCCAATAACTTGGATCATTCATCTTGGTGGTCTCGTGGATATTAATATATGCACGAGTTAGACGGAGGTTATCCTCAGCGCTCTATGGTATGGAAGCCATTATGAGGGAAAATACGAGAGTTAATTTTTCAAAAAAAATGAAATGAAAAAGAAATGGTATAGAATCGATGAAAGGATACACATGGTAAAGTGATTTTATATTACTTATTCCGCAAAACTAGTGGGGAATCCTCATAATTGTTACGGAATCCGCAGAGTTGTTTGGTAATCTGCAGAGCTGTTTGTCAGTCCTTTTTCTTATTTAATTACACATTTAAAAAGTTGTGTGTTTAATAAAAGTTATACAAATATTCCATTTTTTTATAAAATTACACACACCAGTATTCTAAATAATAAACATACTTTAAGTAGGTTACAAAATATAGTTTAGAAAACATAAACATACAACCTTCATAATAAATATACGTTGAAATAAATTTCATTCATTCAAATCGAACCACGAAAACTTTGATCTATTTTCGTATTCCGGCCATGGGTTTTCTGTTGCTTGTGTCCCTAGGTTTACTATCACTTGCGTCCATTGGATATCTGGCTCTTGCAACCATTGGTACTCGGTGCAACCCTGTCATTGGTTTTGTGGCTCTTCCTATAGTTGATATTCAGTCCCTTGCGTCCATTGGTTCTATGGCTCTTACTACCATTGATGTTCGGTCTGTTGTGTCCATTAGTTGTCTGACTACTGCTGCCATTGATGTTCGGTCTGTTGTGTCCATTGGTTGTCTGGCTACTGCTGCCATTGATGTTCAGTCTGTTGTGTCCATTGGTTGTCTGGTTGTTGCTACCATTGTTGTTCGGTATGTTTCTTCCACTGGTTCTCTGGCTCATGTTGCCATTGTTTTTCGGTCGCTTGCGTCGGTTCCTCTTCTGTCGCTTTTGTCCCACTTCCTGATGCCCCAGTACATTTTTTACTTTTACTTTGGTTCTTTGGAATGATTTCCTTACACGTCGTTGCATTATGAGTTGTGCTATGGCATCTACTACACTTTCTTATTTTTGGTTCCTCACCTTGAGAGGGAATACGATTGGTGTTTTTTGATCTACTAGCTTGACGTATTTCCATCACAAGAGGGTTAACAACTATAAGGTCACCCGGAACCTCCCAATCACTAAGTTCTAAAAGAGGGTATACAACCTGCTCGTACTTTCTTCGATATGTTTCAATTTTATAAGCATCTATAGCCATATGCCTACAGTGATCATTTTTCAAGTGTGTTAAAACCATTATCACATGACCACATGACAAACCAGTTAGTTGTCAATATTTGCAAGAATAAGTCTTTTCCCTCAAATTCACTATGCCGCCACTTTTGAAGTCATGCACTTGATATGTTGTATTGTCAACACCGGATACCAACCATCCTTGAATCCCTTATTTATTTTTTTAACCATATCTTCAGCCCACTTCGTAAATATTGATGTACTTTTTTCTATTAAAACATTATTATATATGACATTTATCAAATAATTTAAAAATAAACATAATAATACCTGCAGCCATCTGCCATTTGTAAAACCATTTATGCATAAGTGCGCAAAAGAACTCAAGAAGTGGTAATATAAGCAACTTCCTTGCTTTATTTGATACAACATTCATGGACTCCGTACTATTTGAGGTCATATAATCATACCTCAGGGTAGAGCAATACGCTCTAATCCATTTCTCATGTGGAATTTTACTGAGATATGTCACTACATCATCTCTTATATTACAAAGTCTCCCCCAATAGAATTCAAACTCAGTTGTTTTGTAAGCTCTTACCAGCTTCCAAAACAAAATTGCTGTTTTTTTTTTCCAAAGGTGTAGACTATGTTTCCTATTAGATGAAAGCCAAACAATCCATGTTGAGCATTTGGAAAAAACATTTTGAATACTTACAACAATTGCGAGTGCCCTATTTGTGACCATTGTCACACCTTCCACATCACCAATGCATTCATGTAGTTTTTCAAGAAACCATGTCCAAGAATCCGTAGTCTCTTTTGGGCAAATTCCATACCCAATAGGCAAGATCTGATTGTTGCCATCCATGGCTACTGCATGCAAGATGATGCCTTTGTACTTTCCTTTCAAATGAGCAGCATCCATAATAATAACTTTTCTACAACACTCTCTGAAAGCACGTATCTGCAACAACAATATAAAAACCATTAATATATCAACAATATAATTTTTTTATAAACATTTAAGAAAACAACAAATATATTTAAAAATATATTACCGCACATCCAAAACGAAAAAGCAATACTCAAAACGATCCTCCGAATCAGTTTTTATGTATGCCACAGTACCAGGATTATGTTTCTTCAGATTGTGAAAATAAACTGGAAGTCTGGAGAAATTTTCTTCGGGGGTCCCCATCATCAATCCCAAAGCAAATTCTCTGGCATGCCATGCTTGTGAATAACTCATATTTATTTGTAGCAAAGCATTCATATCTGTAATTATATCATTAGGCTTCCAAACTCTCAAACTTCCTTGACCAATAATGTCATGTATTATGGTTCCCACAACTTCGCTATTTGCTTGCCTATGATTTGGGTGTATAAGCAATGAAGAACATGTATGCTCATCATTAAATGTCTTAATTTCAAACATTTATGTTCCTTTAATGAGAGATGCATATAAACGCTAATGATAGATTTTTTGCATACAAACAACCTAGTATCGAGATTTTGAAGATTTTTCAACCTTTATCTGAAACTTTTCTCTAACAACTTTGAATTGAACAACAAATGCTAGGTCTTTTTTGGTGTTATGGGTTTGATTGACAATTAATTTAACATTCGGACCTAAACTGTGAAATGGTCCAGGTTCAAGAATAGGTTTTGGACAATCAGAAATAGAAGGAATACAATACCATGGATTAAAAGCAGTTTTTCACTGCGTGTACTCATCATCCGACCACCCTTCATTTGATTTTTCCTCACATCTTCGATCATCAATTTCAGGAACTTCTCCAACTCGAACAAATTTTGACGTTGTAATTCAGTCATGCCCACTTTTGCTTATTTATCATTATCTGATAAAAAAGTATCATTATCTGATACAAATTTATCAGTAATCGAAACTTTTTTTTTTCATAACCCACTGCACTTCATTTCCTCTTCCTCTTGAATGGTTTCCAACACATTGGCTTTCTCTACGACCTCTATTAGTTTTTACTAGATTAAACTGGTTGTTAACGTGTGACATCCCCATTTTTCACGGACAGAAAAGACCGATTTAGTTTATGCTTCATAAAAATCAGAGTGTCTCTTTTAATAAAAATGTTGCGGAATTTGTTCCCAGTAAAACATGATAAATACGTTATCAAAGCATTTCCGAAAAGGTATTTTATTCATTTTAAAATATTTGGGATGTCATTATCAATACAGAAACATAAGCATAAACAAAACTTACACTCATTATCGCTAGTGATTTATATCTCTTTAATCTCTCAGTGTAATGTGACTTCATATCAACATCTGTGATATAAATAAACTGAGTGGGTCAGGTTAGGAAACCTGGTGAGTACATAAGGTTTTCAACCCACAATAATATAATTATTATGTTTAAGCATTTAAACAAGCAACCCAATTACCCATCCCCATTATCTTCTTTATTTTACCCTAAGAATTCAACTATTCCTCATTTATTTATTCCTAAGGGTTATCCTAAGGAATATGCACGAAATCCATCATTGCGAAGGTTTACTCAACAGACACTAAATCCATAGTTACCAAGGTTTATCTCATTTAATTACAGTATCATTTCCGAGACTCCTCTCGTAATACAAGTCAATGGGTTTTATCTCGTTTATCGACAATATTGTTTCCGAGAATCCACTCGCAATACATATCGATGAGTTTTTAGAGTACACCTGGTGAATACACAGTTCAAATCACCTACAAGTTGCGAGCCTACTAGTGTCCATTGGACTATCTAGAATAGTCTGTGGTTGTCATCCATACTCTGCTGGATGACGGGGCCATCACTTGGGTAAAAGGTTTCTCTCATGGTTCACCTCTCACCCCTACCTCATGGTCTATATCACCTCTTCATCATTTTATTTTTGTCACACATAAACTATTTCATCTACCTATGTTTACCCAACACATTTTGTAGATATAAAATACGTATACAGTTTAAATAATTTAAAACATGTATGAAAATCTTTCACCCAACACGGACACCAAGTATTCAGACAATATACACACATAGCATGTAGTTTATATAAAATACTTCATATCTATGTGTAAGCTGAAAGTAACTATGCACTGACTTGATAAGGTGGTGACTCGACACTTGGACTACACTTCGTTACTCTTAAAATAATTTCCCCCGACAAAACCTAGTATCAATATCTCTAGGGTTTAGTCTAACGTAAACCACGGCTAATTAATAGTCTAGCTATTATTATTATTATATAAGCGTTAAACAACACTCTATATAACTCATAATAATAACCCAAATAATTATTTTAAGGTCCTAATAATGTTACTATAATTATTTAAAAGCTATATTAAAAATTGCATAGGCGTAGCTCACTTACAGCGGATTGTAAAGAAAACCGAGCTTTGCTCGGAGCAGCGTTTTGAAACTGAAAGACCCTTTTTCTCGGGACTCCGGGAACCTCGTGTCTTCCTTTAGGTGATAGGGGGTTAACCTAGGGTTTAGGAGTGGTTTGGGATCCTAGAGAGAAAGAAATTAGAGAGAGAAAGAGAATTGGAGTGATTTCCTCGGCAGCCTTCGCAACCGTTTTATAGGCGCCAGCCTTGGACCTATGTTGGGCGAAGTCCTTGGCTTACGCGGGGCGTAACTTCAGATAGGGTACAGGTGGAGAGTCTTCGGTGGTGCGACGTGGGCAAAGCTGGACCGAGGAGCGATAGGCGTATGCTGCGTGTACGAGAGCTCGGACGCTGGGCGTAATTCGAGGGTGGTGTGTCACTCATCCGAAGCGGGTCCATCGGACGGCTGGGAGCTAGTCCATGTCATCAATACATGCATCACTTTTGCAAATTGCACCCTTAACTTCTAAATTTCGTATCTACCTCATACGAGCTCCGTTTTCGACGTTCTTTATATACACACGTATGCGGGGACGCACTCTACAACTTTCGTTTAGACTCCGTCGGCTAATTTTGAATTATTTTTAAAAGTTATATTTTTAACAGGCCGGGACACGATTGGTCCGTTAAAAAATCATAACTTCTTCATCCGACGTCCGTTTTTGTCTGTCTTTTTATTGTTGTGATACTATTAACGAGATCTTCGATTCTCGTTTAGGTTGTGCTGGCTAAAAATTGCTCGATCTAATATTCGAATTTCGGGCTGTACACTGCTAAGCCGAAACTTCGAAAAATCATAACTTCTTCACACGAAGTCAGATTTGGGCGTTCTTTTTATGGACGCTCCCGGTTTAACTTATTCTATGAATTTCGTTTAGATCGCTAAGGCTAAATCTCGATATATCGTAAATTCACTATTTACGATTCCCGGTATCGTGCCAGTTTCGTTGCGAAACTTCGATGGGTCGTAACTTCTTCGTTATAACTTAGATTTCGGCGTTCTTTATATCTACGGAAACCTTGAGACGTATTCTACAACTTGGTTAATATTATTTATTCTAAATATTATTTTGCCGAAAAGTTATTTTCGACACTTATTGCCTCTAAATTGTCTAGCCCGAATCTACAGGCACTACATAACCACTGCTTGTTCTTCAGCTTCTTCACCTACCACCATTAAATACAAATGCCCCCATCTTCCTTGATTCGGTCATTACATGTATCAATTGAAATACATCAGTTTTATCTCCAAGCTTCATGATATATCCTAACTCTGGGTGTTTAAAAGACAAACATATATGACTATTTAACACACATGCCTTACTTCTGGCCATTTGTAATAACATTTCATGGTCAATGTTAAGAGGAAGATTAAAACCATAACA